GGCAGCAGCTTCTGTCTTCCGGCTGAAGCTGCCGCCGAATTGCCGCCGCCACGGAAACGCGCGTGCCGCCCTAATGGCACACAGACTGCCCCCGCTGTCCGCGGCGGCAATTCGGCGCGCTGCTTGGGGCGGCAAAAACAGTAGAGCCGGCCCTGTCAAGGTCTGAATGCTTCTTTCCTTTCACCCCAGAGCCAGATCTCTTGTTCAAGTCCTCCTAACGTGCCGCCTTGACTACTGCAATGTCCTCCTCTGACCGCCCACAGACACTGCCCCTGCTTTAGTGTCTGCATTTTGTGTGGACTAAAATCACCTTTCTTATCTGTCAGTTTGATCATGTCATCCATGCTCTTCGAATCCCTTCACTGGCTTTGTGTCTCCTCAAGCCCCTCCCCTCCACTAGTGCTCCAAGCCTATGTGCATGTGTCAGCTTTTCATAAAATCACCACCATGCCTTCTTCCACTCAGCCGTCCATGCATGATGCAAACTCCCTGCGCTCATCTGCAAATCCCTTAGCCTGTCCACATTTACCTCCGATAAACAGTGCCATAGAGCAGCCAAGTAGTATTGCTTTTTGTTAACCCTACATTATTTTTCCATCACTGTTGATGATAAAAAAACACATCTCTGGAGATATAAAAGCAGGCTCAACAGACCGAGAACATCCAGAGCAAGTCATAAACCTGTAGAACATGATGTGCGGAGCAGGCAGTGAACATTTAAAGAGGAACAGAAATCTGCTGAGATTTGAAGTGAGATTTTGCAGGGTAACAATATTCAGATTTCTGGGAGCGATGTTCCTGCTGGGGAAGCTAACCAGTATCTGTCAGAAAACACTGGAGAAGGGAAAGTCTTGCACCAGCAATGGAAAGCCATTAACAAGTACGTCTGTCACACACTTGCAAGTTTTTTTGGCATGCGGTTTTGGATGTGAATTTTTTTGCACATCCAAAAATGTTAAACTGCAGGTGCAAGTGGGAGTGGGCAAACTGGGCAGTCAGCTGTGTAGCTCGGATGTTAAGGGCTTTATTGTACAACTCTCTCACGTTGGTACAAGTGATCCCAGTGACTCCAATGGGGACTATTTGAGTAAGTGCTCTTCCTCGGCACTATTAATACCCAGTAACAATTTTAAATACTGGCTTACAGCAGTAGCATAGCTTAACCTGGTTTCACTGGTATTGGCCTGCAATTTGTGCCCCACAATTGTTTGTACGACCTTACAATTATTACAGGTAAGCAGTTTTTCCCTTTTGTGTTATAAAAAACAAAGCAAGCCCCTATACGGTCTCCTCTGCAGTTGGTTGAATTGAAATCCCAAATGAGTTTAAATGATCATCACAGAGTAGTTTCTTAGCTTTCACGCAAGTTTAAAATAGTATCCGATCCATCTGTAATAAAATCACCTTGATATGACTGTTTAGGGTGTGAAGATTTAACAGTTCATATGAGAAGTTCCTCTTGCAATCTCAGCTGTCACCTTGAATGATGATTGTTTATTGAGGGCATTCTGACTGTTTTTGAAATCATCCATCCGGAAAGGAAATCGATCCATATAAATATTTTAAAAGAGAATAAAACACTTTTTATGTTGTGAAAATTGGATGTCAATTGTTTCTTTCAGGAGTGAAAGAGTCCCATCAGATGAGCATTTTTAAGATAATAGCTTCCATCCTGCACCTAGGAAACTTGGAAATTCAAGCAGAACGAGATGGAGACTCTTGTAGTATATCGGTAAGTTTTTAGCAGGCACAGAAGATATTGTGTGTGCAATTTTGTGTATTAATAAATCTAGCCAAGTTGCCTGTCTCTTGCTACAAAGGATGCCATCAAATATGTTTAGTTAATAACTTAATTTCTATTTATTTTCTCTTGTTTTATTGCTTCTGTAGGCAACTTATCAATAAATCTTATTTCCCTGATGTGTTTGTCTCTTTCCATCTGGGAAATAATACAATCTCACTTGTTTTCACTTGTAAAGCAACATGACTGTGTTTGCTTATTTCCTGGGTTTTTAAAGTACAATGGTTGTCACCCTTAAAAACTGACCAATTGCCCTAGCTAACAAATCTAATGTTACCTCAGTGTTTGCAGCATTCCCTGGAGTAAATATTAGGGAAACAGAGAGAGTATTGCAAATACTGAGGTAACAATACAGAGGTACAAATACTGTGATCCTTACCCCCTACGCAAGGTAAAATTGACAAGTCTTTAAAGGCAACCAGTGTATCAGACTCAATAGTGCTATCTGCAGAATAGTGTTTGGGAATACACGCACCCTATGGGCAATGCTAGTGCTGAATCAGTAGCTGCTGGTGAATAAGAATCCGAAACAATGGGCTAGTGCCTCCTCTGTAAATGTAACTCCACTGACTTCAGTTGACTGGTTTTGGATTTTCCCCAGGCGCAGAATTTGGTCAGTCCTGGTATCTCTCAGCTACTGAGGGGATTTAAAGAAGAATGGAATGGGAGCATCTTTTTATACCTTTTCAGACTGTAATAATTTTCAGTATGTGTCAGAACTCTGGCCTAAACCATTTCCCCATGTTCTTATGGGTTTTGGTTTTTTTTGGTTTCTGGGTTAGATTTGGGATGCATATTGCAGCACAGGCTTTCAGAAATGGTAGTGATTATGGGTGCCATTGTTTATATATTTATTTTTGGGTGCCCAACTTGAAATATCTTTTAAAAGGGCTGAATTTGCTCTCTTAAATTCAGGCCCCTTTAAGGTATTTCCAACTGAATCCAGAATTCATCACTTTTGGAAATGTTGGCCTGTCAGCACAAGTATAAATGCTGGAATAAAGAAATGGTCCTATTGTGCAACTAATTAAATTATCTGGTTTTGGTTGCTGGAGTTCAGAGCTGTGAGAAATGACACTGCCATATATTTGTCATTGAAATGTAGCCATCCAGTACGCAAAGGAGTACAACATAGATAGCAACACAGGGCGGCTATGTACCACATATATTTATTAAAAGAATACTAAAATACTAAAAATACTTGTTGTCCTACCAGTTATCACCATGTCCCATACTGGGTAGCTTATCCTTAATTAAAATATAAGGATGTGCTCTGCGCATATTGCTAGTGTTACCCTGGAAATGCTCAGTGTGCAGTTAGTTGGACACGGGGGGGCAATTTGTTTTAGATATTTGGCAATCTGGGCGCATAAAACTAATCTGCTCCCATAATGCTGAATTCTGTAATGGATTTAGCATTATTTAATTAAATTTAAATGTGACTGCATGAAATAAACTCCGTCCTGGTTATTACTTTTAATCAGCAATCAGAAAAATGTGGGAGAACCAAAAAGCATCCTAGAGGATTTAAAAAAGCATTTTTACCCTCCCCCCCCCCCCCCAAAAAAATTATCTAGCTGAGTATTTTTGTTTTACTTTATTTTGAAGTATGATGTAATGTTAACAAAAGACTGAACAATTTCCCACTCTTACAAGAAGGTGCCTGCAGGCTCACTCACATGTACTGTATGAAACCCAGCAACGGGCCAGGACTTTGTTGGTTTCTGCCACTAGAAACAAATGTGAACTTAAGACTCTTAACTAACTACATTTTAAAAAAATAACGACTGGAAAATAGGTCAACAACAACCACTTAATCTCATATACTTTGGGGGCCTAATTATACCAAGAAATCCCAAGAGTGCTTTGCAAAAGGCATGCTGTAATTTAATAATACAGTTGGCAGTGCCAAGCTAATGATTTAGAGCCTGATCCAAAGCCCGTTGAAGTAAATGTTGGAGTCTTTGCATTCACTTCAATGGGTTCTGGATCAAGCCCTTAACGGTAAAAGGAATCCAAGTTTTTACTTTGATGTAGAAGGAAACAGCAGCAGCATCTCCAGACAGGGAGTTCTGCCCCCAAGTCCCCTTCCCCCCTTCTCCCCCCCCTCAAAATGCCAAATGATTGAAGTACTATCTGGCAGTGGTGGTATATTTAGGGGCTTGTAATAACACAAGGAAGTGCATCTAGAGTAACAGAGCCAGCCATCCTGGTTTTGGTTCTCAATCACTTAATGGGAGTTGAGGTTGCTCAGCAACTCGCAGGATAGTGTCCTTAGAGAGCTGGTTACCTGTTAAGTGTTGCATAGTTTGAGCTTTGTAGAAGGAACAAAACTGAACCATTGTAGATACTCTACTCCTTTTTATTAAGATTGTGTTGCTTAAGGGGGGAGGGATAGCTTAGTGGTTTGAGCATTGGCCTGCTAAACCCAGGGTTGTGAGTTCAATCCTTGAGGGGGCCACTTAGGAATCTGGGGCAAAATCAGTACATGGTCCTGCTAGTGAAGGCAGGGGGCTGGACTTGATGACCTTTCAAGGTCCCTTCCAATTCTAGGAGATGGGATATCTCCATTAATTTATTATTTATTTATTAAGATGCCCAGGGCATAGAGAAGCCATACAGTGTGTGGTTCTGTGGTTGCAAAACGAACAGCGTTGTGTGGAGCTGGGCTCCATTTAATGTACCTTCCCAAAGTCTAGAGAGCTTCAGTTAAATGTTCTCATTTTTATGTCATCTCTGTCAACCACAGTTAAACAAGATAGAATCTCAGATAGAAACCAACTGCTGATTTCATTACAGTATTTTGATCCTGATCCTGGAAATCTAGAATTAAAGTTTCATTCTGAATCAAACTTCTCTCTAGGAATCTACCACCAGGTCATTCATCTTTCCAGTGGTTAACATTATTTCAAGAGATTATCTCATTCTGAATCTATTATAAATAGATAGCCCCTACAAATTAGTTATCCACAGTTAATGGCCAAGTAGGAAATTAACATCATGAAGCCAATCTGAGGTTGGTTAAAATCGTAAATTGCACAATAACTCTAGTATTGCCAATCTCAGTAAGACAGCTTCTGTTCTAAATGGTATTTGTGAGGCAGCAGTTTCAGAAATGGACCTGATTCCTGAGGACTAAAGCTGTTTTGTTTTTTTTCCTCCCCACACTTTCCAATCAGAATAGTAGGCAGCCCTGTAGCTTAGACATGTGGGTGTTTTCTTGTCTCCCAGCCTCAGCTCGTTGAGCTCCTGCTGAATTTATATTTCTCTTTATATCCTAGAAACAGGATGAACACCTGAATAATTTTTGCAGATTGCTTGGAGTGGAGCACAGCCAGATGGAGCACTGGCTGTGCCATCGGAAGCTTGTCACAACAGCTGAGACGTACATCAAGCCCATGTCTGTGCAGCAAGTCGTGAATGCCAGGAATGCGCTGGCCAAGCATATATATGCCCAGCTGTTTAACTGGATTGTGGAGCATATCAACAAAGCCCTGCATACCACTGTCAAGCAGCACTCATTCATTGGAGTTCTGGATATCTATGGGTAGGAAAGGCCTCTGTTTCTTCTGCTGTCTTTAGCTTACCATGTTCCACTTCAGTTAAACATGAGTTTTTAGAAATCTGATCCATGCAAAATCTGTTCCAGAATGGATTGCTAGGGGTGACTGTATTTGCAATACATTGAATGGTAGAAGTTGCATTGAGCAGGATTACTTGTAGCCTGATCCTGCAAAGTGCTGAGCTCCAGGAGCACTGGTGTCATCCTCTGCCTTCCCTAAAGTGCCCAGCCCCTTACAGGATCATGCCGTTATTACTTTCCCCCTCTAAAACAATAAAGACAATGGATCAGGCTTGTAGGGAACTCAGACGTAGTGCAACTCTCTTTATAGTGAAGTAGAATTATGATGACTTGTTTAGAATACCCTGTCAGTGTATTGGGGCTGTTACTGCACAGACACCATGAGTTCTCCTTTCTGTGGGCTCCCGCCTAGGAGGATGACATGGTGTGCTACAATTGGTGACCTGTGCTAAACAAGTAACAAAGTCCTTGCCCCTGAGAGCTTACAGTATGAGGGTACAAGCTGGTACAGTGGAAAGAGAACAAGTACAGAGCATTATGTGTTGTCTGTATTACAAAATTGGAACCCTGCTTCAGATTTCAAAGCCCCCCCCCCCCCCACTCTCTTGCAGACGTGGGTCTGTTTGAATGTTGGACTTTGGTCTGGGCTCATCTCTATTACATGTGGGTATCCAGTAGGTTTTTGTGAAGGAGGAGGGAGAAGGGGCTTTGTGTATATTAAAGTCCTGACTGCTTTCATTGAATTCCAATGTGCATATACTATCTATTAGAGCAGACCTCCATTTAGACCAGTGGTCCCCAAACTTTTGAGGGTTGCACCCCTGTCCATGCCCCCCTCCCAGGGCCGGGAGCATGAACATGGCACAGGGGGCCGGGAGAAGGGGACACACAGAAGTAAGGGGGCTGAGGTTGGGGCCACAGCTGGGGGTGGGTCTGGAGCCGGGAGCAGGGCCAGGGATAGAGCCAGGGCCAGGGCGAGGGCGAGAGCAGAGCTGCAGCCAGGCATGGAGGGGGACGGCAGCCAGGTGTGGCTCCACTCCCTCCCACAGCCTCAACCTTGACTCTGGGCCAGGAACAGAGCCACAACCAGAGGCTGGGAGCAGGGGTGGGACAGGGAATGGATAGGGTTGCCAACCATCCAGGATTGGCCTGGAGTCTCTTGGAAATGGCATCGATCTCCTGGTGACTATTGAAAGCAATCTGGGAGGCTTTAATAGGATATTTTAAGAAAATGACATTACATCATGTTGGGGGGGGGGGAGAATCTCCTGGAATAGCTTCAGTCAGAGTTGGCAACCCTAGGAATGGAGCCACCACCGGGCTGTGGTTGGGGACAGCAGCTGGGCCGCTGGCTGGGTGTGGAGCCACTCTGGGGCTGGGAGCCGGGGCCATGGCTGGCAGCGGGGACGGAGCAGAGTTGGGGGTGGGGTGGGGCTTGGGTTGTGCTTCCTCCTCTCCCTCCATGAGTGCTGGCCTGGGCCCCGCTGTGCCCTCCCAAACGTTCCTCTGCACCCACCTATGGGGGTGGGGCACACAGTTTGAGGATCTCTGACTTAGACTAAAGGATGATCTTGTGACTAAGGTACAAGATGGGAGGTCAAAGAGCTGGATTCTCTTCCTAGCTCTGCTGTTGACTTGCTGGGTGACCTTCAATTAAATTGCTCTGTGCCTCAGCTTGCTTAGCTCTGAAATGTAATACCTGTGTCACAAGGGTGTTGTGAAGCAAGATGGGGTTGCAGTGTCCCTCGGGTTTGGCCCCGTCTCCCTGACTGGACTAAATTTGCGTGAGTGGAGTTGTGACCTGTCTCATTGGGTTGCAATGCCATTCACTCAAATTTGGCCTACTCAGACTACTGTCATCATGATGGCTGGGCCAAACTTGAGTGGTGCTGGGACCCCAGATGTTGCAGTGCCTGGAACAGGGAACCAAGTCCAGCCAGCCCCGTGGGACAGGAGCTGCCACATGACCCTTTGAAACATTCTGGTAACCCAATTTTGGATCCTGACCCACGGGTTGGGTAACCTGGCCTTAGAACTTAGGCCAGGTTTGCCCAGAAGCTCATGTACGAGGATGGGGATTCCCTTTAAACCCAGTGCAGCCTGTGCCACCTTTCATCACCTGCGTTCAAGGGCCAGCAGCAGAGTGACTATAGCAGGAGCTTGATTATTTCCACTTCACTGCTGCAGAACAAGAGCTGGGCAGCCTGCCAGGTCCCCAGAAGATCCAGACCAGTGGAGAGTGGGAGCTTGTTCCATCCCTATCCTTACAGCTAAAGGAAAAGAGGTGGAACAATGGGACTGCCAGCAACCCCCGTAAGAGCTGAAAGGGGCGACAGCTAGCTAATCAGCCATCCCCACCCTGAAGACATCAGGAAGAATGGACCAGGTAGACGGCCACTGGCCCACCTGCATACAACTGTTAGACATAACAGAGAGCTCAGGGTCTCTTGTGAAGAAGTGATTAGTGGAAGGGCAGGGCAAGATGCCAAGCAACAGAGAAAGAAGCCCAACACCAGGCAAAAACCCACCTGATGGCAGGCGTAGTCACAAACTTGGCTTGTCAAATTCTAATGAGTTTAGAACTCAAAAATGATACCCCCATCTAAGCGTATTTTGAGTTCTTTACAGAAAGCTCTCACAATCCTAGTCACTACTCAGTTAATGGAATTGGGGCAGGATTCTCACTTCTGCATAAAGCACCATGGGATTTTTAACATTGTTTTCTCATGGCTGGGACGTCTGTTAAATATCCCATCTGAGAGAAAGCCCCTACCCTCAGCCACCAAGCCCTCCCATCCCCCCAGCCCACAAAAACACAATGCTGAAGCATCAGTGAAGTACTGACTGTGCTGGAAGAGACGCTGCCTACACATTCACTATCAGCACGTCCTGCAGCACCTTCATGATCCTGGAAGGCTCCCATCAAAATTCTGAGCCAGTGTGATCCTGCCTACTTTGGGATCTGACAACAGAGCAGTTTGAAGTGGTGTGGCTGATGGCATAGGGATTTGTTAGCACCGAGGGTGACCCACATGGATACTACACGATCCAGAGAATCCTTGAGGCCAAGAAGCTGCCAGCTGCAGACAGCATAAGCTGAGGAGTGGTTCTAAAGGAGTGTAAGTCAGAGGAGCTTTTAACAAAATATTGTTTCCTGTCCAAGTTGCCTTGATTCCAGAGAGATTCCCTGTGGACTGTAATGTGTCAGAAAAATGTTATTATTGAAGAAGGAGCCATATGGACTGTACCAGGAAAGCGTAGACCAGTCAGTTGACATCAAAGTAAGAAACAGACAAGCACTTGCAGAAATGTAAATAAAAGTTGATTAGAGGGTAATGCCCATGAAATATTAAGTTAGACAAGAAAATCTCCATTACCGTGACACAACCACAAGACCTTTCTGCTGAAGATCACAAAAATGTGTTTCCCCTAAAACACTGAACCAAGATGGCACAGTCTTGCACAAGATTGCAAGATTGCGCAGGTGCTGCTGGCGTAAGAGTTATTAGCTGGGTACAATGGTGTGAGCTGAGACAAAGTAAAATTGTCCCCAGCTCCGATGCCCCTCTACCAGATGGGCATTCCATAAATCCTTCTTTGCTTTTGTGAGTATTTCGTCTAGCTTAATGTGGGGATTGTGGCATTAATAAGTTCTGTATAACCTCTTCCTTCTGAAAGAGTGATGTTGCAAGGTAAAGGACTTGTCTGTGTGTTAGCTTAGCAATCAGCTTCCTTATTCTCCCTCACACATAATCAGGCCTGGGACCTTTTAGGCTGGGATTTTTAGACCTCTTTGACAAGGCTAGCTTTAGCACTTATTAACATTTTTAAAGTGAATTGGTGTATGAATTCAGTGCTAGTGAAAGGTTCTGAATGGATGTCTGTGGAAACCAAAGTCCTACAGAGCATGAGGCTCCCCATGCTGCCCCACCAGCATCAGAGGAAAGAGATTATTTTACTGATTCCATTAAGAAATGATTGCATAGGGTTCTGCCCTTAAATGTTCACAGGGAAAACCAGCATAAGGCTGTGCACCCCACCAGAGAGTAAATGGCAGTTCCTCTCCTGCTAAAACAGTGTTATCATCAGAATTGCCTGGTGCGCTAAGGACTGGACTTGGAGCTCCCAGCACTGACTCCTGATGGAGCCTTGAACAAGTAACTTAAACTCTATCAGTTTCCCTACCTGTAAAATGAGAGATAATACTGACCTATCTCATAGGGAGTTGATGATTATTTAGCTAATGGTTATAAGTCTTTGAAGATAAACGTACTATATAAAAGGTAAGAATTCACAACTTTATTATTATAACACAGCGTATGTGGTTCTTATCACCTTGAATCTTGCTTAAGGTTACATTGTACTAAAAGGTATATATAGTTATAGACTACATTGTATCTTGGAATATATTTAAGATGTTCGGCCAAATCCTGGACGTTATCCCTATGGGAGATGGGTGTTTGCTCTTTGTACCTTTATCACGAACCCATGATTTTTTGATACTGAAATGTTGTTTGTAAAGGAACAAAAATGTGTCCTTGAAGGATTTACTTATTATCCAATGTTATAGCTGAGGCTGATAGCACTGCCTGTTACTAAGGTTGCCTAATATTGCCCATTATAAGGCCCTGGTTTTCAGTCCTTTAACCACCTGGGCTAAACTTTTCTGTGCCAGAGTCTGCCTCAGGGTGAATTTATTTATTTATTTATTTATTTATTTTGAAAATTTCAGCCAAAACAATTCAGCCATTTCTGAAAACAAAACTGAAGAGAAATTCGTTGTTTTGCCCATGTTAAAAAATTCTGCCCATGCTGGGCATGCTCCAGCCTTGACTGAACAGATTTCCCTGTAATTGCATCTCTGGTCTGCAGCAGTGTGGGCTAGGTCTGGGCACCTGAACTGCAAGACCAGGAGCCTCTCCTGTGCTCTCAGTGTCTCCCCTGCTGGCACCCAGGCAGTGTGG